ACAGACAGACAGACAGGTGAGCAGACAGACAGACAAACAAACAGACAGACAGACAGGTGAGCAGACAGACAGACAGACAGGTGAGCAGACAGACAGACAGACAGACAGACAGACAGACAGGTGAGCAGACAGACAGACAGACAGACAGACAGACAGACAGGTACCTTGTTGTTGTCTGCGTCTCTGAAGGACAGAGCGAAGTAGTCTCTCTCCAGCAGGTTGACGTGTTCACAGACCTTCTCAAACAGCTGCACACCTCGAGCTCGTTTCTGAGCAGAGACAGAAAACTTCAGGTTCTACTGGTTCTACTGGTTGTACTGGTTCTACTGGTTCCAGTGGCCCGGCTCACCTCCACCGTGCAGGTGAACAGCGACCCGTCCAGAAGGGTCACTCTGGTCTGCATCGTCCTGAAGCTCAGCGGGTTCCTCGCCGGAGAGCGAGCGATCCGACTGCTCGACGACAGGTGACTGGTCGAGTCCTCGGCCAATGAGCTGTGTGCCTGGCTCTGGGACGGCCCCCCCTCTCCTCCCTGAGGATACAGGAAGTGACATCATATTTCAGGTGATGGTGAATGTTCAGCGCTGTAGTGGCGCTTTCTCCACTTCCTTGTGCTCTACCTGTTTTGGTGTGGAGTGGGCGGCGGCTTCAGGGAAAGACTCCGCCTCGGTGGGCTGAGCGTCACCTGGCTCTGTTGTCATGGTGATTCACCTGTGGGACATTTTGTATAAAATATATGTTATATAGATTTTTTTAAAAAGTGAGCTTTAACAATATTGAATTTCCCTTCTGGGATAAATAAAGTATTTTTCATTTCATTCATTTTCATTTTATTTCATTTATGATATGGTTTAATGACACCGTTACCATGGAGATGAGCAATGCCAGCTGATTGGATGTTGTTCATGTGATGCTGACAGCATGAAGCTCATGATGTCAGAGCCACCACATCTCATCCATCCTGTTTAATCTGTTTTGTTTTTGCTTATTTGTCTCATGTGTTTGTTGTTTTCTGTCATTTGTTGTTGTTGTTTTGTGTCTTTCCGTTTATGTTGCACAATCTCCTTTGTGTCATTTTGTGTGTCCTCGTGGTTGTTTTGTCTCCACATGCACAGTGTATGTTTGATGAACTGTATTTCCTTTGTGTGGCTGAACTCTGAGCAGGCAGACGACGGCGGAGGCCAGAACCGGAGCCAGAACACGGACTGAGCCTCCACCACTGGACGTCACAGCCGGATGTGGAAACTGAACGGCAGCTGCTTCATCCCCAACATCGACCGTCGGTCTCTGTCTGATGATGTCATCACACTGAGCACCATGGTTACCATCTCCTGACCCCATCCAGCTGTCAGGTGAAGGGTTGCCATGGTGACGGGGCGGGGAGGGCAGAGACAGGGATTAGAGCCGAGAGACAATCTGATGTAATCTGGTTTGGATGCAGGCAGACGACGACGATATTACATGTTGGTCAAATGTGACGGAAGGTTCTTCTGTTCAGAACACAAAAGGTTCTGCACAGTTCCACTCGTGTTCAGAGAGAACTTTAGTATTAGCTCCCAGACGTTCTTCTTAAAGCTTATTTAGAGACATTCTATAGAAAACAGAACCCAAACCTGCCAAACATCCCTTCTGCAGTGTTCTGTCTGTCTGTCTGAACCATCTCCATGTCTCCAGACTTCTCCTCTCTGCTCAACAGCTGTAGAAAGATGTTCCACCATCAGTAGAAAGATGTTCCACCATCAGTAGAAAGATGTTCCACCATCAGTAGAAAGATGTTCCACCATCAG